CATTCATTCTATGTAGTTGTAACGTGCTTGTTGTCATTTCTGTCGTTGGTGTTCCATTGTGCATATATGCATGCTTTATCCATTCCTACTACGTGTGAGTGTTTGAGTCGTTTTAAGTGTGGGGCTCTCATGCTGCCGTGGACCTCTGTGTTGTAATCCACCTGGTGGCACACAGCCACCACCCCTGCGGTCTTGCTCCCATCTCTGTGTGTGTCCCTGTCCTGAGTGGGCTGCCTGTCGCTTTCTGGCCGAGAGCAAGTGCGCTTGCTGGACACAGGCTTTGCAGAGAGCATCTTTCAGTGAGCGAGTGTCCTTCACTCCTTTCTTGGTGGCTTTCGATGGTTTGATAGTTTTATTTTACGCTCATCCATTTCGCAGTCCTGTGTTTGTGCTTCGCGTCCTCTGCTGAGCAAGTCTGTCCCTGCTGCAGGGTCCCCAGCTTTATGGTTTGCACTCCTCTGGGGCAGTTTTCAGTTAAACTCCATAGAGTATTTCTTTAAAAAAAAATCATTTTATTGGGGGCTCTTGCAGCTCTTTTAACACTCTGCACATCAATTGTATAGAGCATATTTGCACATATGTTACCATCATCATTTTCTAAACATTTAATTTCTATCTATTTGAGCCCTTGGTATCAGCTCCTCATTCCTCCCCCCTTCCCCCCACTTTCCCCCTCATGACCCCTTGATAAATTGTAAATTATTATTGTTTTCATATCTTACACCGACCTCTGTCTTCCTTCATCAGTGTTTCTTTTGCTCGTCCCCCTGGGGGCAAGGGGATTATGTGTTGCTCATTGCAATTGGTTCCCCCTTTCCCCACTTCTTACCCCACCTTCCCCCACCCTCCTGGTGTCCCTACTCCCATTTCTGTTCCTGAGGGTTTATCTGACCTGGATTCCGTGTGTCGTGAGCTCTTACATGTACTTGTGTGCATACTCCAGTCTAGCCAGAAATGAAAGGCAGAACTGAGTTCATGATAGTGGAGGGTAAGGAAGCCTCAAAGAACCAGAGGAATATTGTGTGTTTCCTTGGTGCTATACTGTGTCCTGGTTGACTCATCCCTTCCTTGAGACCCTTCTGTGAGGGGATGTCCTATTGTCTACAGATGCGTTTTGGGTTTCTGCTCCAACCCCTCTCGTTCTCAACAATATGTTTTTTGTTTGTTTGTTTTGGGTCTTCTGGTGCCTGTTATCTGATTCAGTTACCTCATTATCACACAGGCTAGTGTGCTTCTTCCAAGTGGGCTTATTGCTTCTCTGCTAGATGGCTGCTTGTTTAACTTCAAGCCTTTAAGACCCCAGACACTGGATCTTTTGATAGCCGGGCCCTGTCATCAGCTTTCTTCACCACGTTTACTTGTGTACCCATTTCAAGTCTTTAGAGATCGGGTCAGGAGAGTGAGCATCACAGAATGCCAGGTTGTTAGAACAAAGAGTTCTTGTGTTGAGGGAGGGCTTGACTAGAGGCTCAAAGTCTGTCCACTTCTTCAGTGGATTGCCAAATAAACATATGTAAATAGGCCAATATCTCTTTTTATGAATTAATATACATGAATGTACTCTTATGTTTATACCTCTATCCATAGCTTTGCTGGCTAGATCTTTCCTCTGTTTCCTTTTACCTTCCTCCTGCCCCATCATCATGCTTGTCCTTCTTCTTCCTCTTAGTAATTCCTCTCAGCTAGATTGCTGTTGCTCCAACACCACCGGGATCTCTACATCCTCCTCATTGTTGATTTTAATTCCCTAGTTGTTCCCCTCTCTGTGGCATTGTTTGCTCACTGCTCCTTTCC